ACTCGGATGCTCTTTTAAAAACGAACTTGTATGTCGAAGATTTGCGTAAAGAATACTACTATCCTCGAAATGGAAGCTAGAATTTCTGCACTATTCTTTACAGTTAACTTTAATAATAACTTAATAATAACTTATTAAAGTTAATTAGGGACAGTGACTTGAGATTAGCAATAAACCTTTATTATGAGCTGATGAAGGTCTGAAATTTTATCTATGATTCAGACAAATTACTGCTGTGTTAATGAATAAGGGATGAAGACTTTCTTGCTCGTGACAATCCCTGAATTACAACTTGTTTTTGGCAGTTTAAGTATTAAAGTAATGGATATTTTTGACACGAATTTCGCAGTTAATATTTAAAATTCGTATGAAAATTTTTATATGTTAAGCTATTTGAGAACATTTATCAAATGTCGAGTCATTTACTGTCTTGTATGTAAAACAAAACATTTTTTTAATTGACAATACAGCGTAGTATTTAGAGATAAAAGTGCTTTTACAGAACACAAGTCAAGGATATCACTCTCACTGAGCAAGCGAATTATCTAGAATCATATTCGTTCATGCATGCTCTGACATGATCATATACATTATAATGTCTTCGTTGATATTTGCTCAGATTTTTTTTACGCTGCAATGAATTCTAATTCACCTTTCTTTCAGATTTTTTTCAAATAGATGTAACACTGATTGCTTAAAATTATAGTGCATCGGCAAATTTCCTTTAAATGACATGGCGTTTATTTTATGATAAATTCAGATGAAGCTCTAGATGAAAAAGCATATATTTATGTAGAAAAGACGATTTCAGTACCGTCATACGACACTGAAATCTTAGTAAGACAGTTTGCATAATTAAGGCTGCAAGTCTATTTACAGTATGTCTTCTTTGAAACAAGTAAATAATAAATATTTTTCTGAAGTGAATAATAATTTTTTCAAGTAATATAATATCTATGAAGGCAGACATTTATTTATTAAAGGTATAACTAAAGGAAATGGTGGAAAACGCACGAAACTAATCTGACAATTTTACAGTTACATTCTCCAGGACTTAAAGGATGACTGGGAAAAGAGCAACGATAATAATTAGTACTCTTTCAGACAACATTACTCCTGAAAATCTTAAACACCAAAATATTTAATTTAATATTTATCAGTTTGATCAACCATTCTTAGAAGTTTATTTTATAAATTTCTGCCAAAATTCTAAAATTCCATACAAGTTATAAAATACTCTCACCAAACTAATTGTAATATCCTTTCTTCCTTCTTTACGTTTCTCCTTTCCTATATATTTCTTTATCCGTATTTGGTTTTTCTCATCAGTACTTTCAGAAATTCATTCAAGAGAACTATGTCAAGTTTTCGTTCAGACATAATCCATTAAGTGTCTTAACTTTAGCTGCATTCAATCGAATTTGTTATCCATTAATTATACATTAAGCTTCAGTCAAAAACTGCTGTTTCGAAATTGAATGGACTGCTGATGTTAAATGTAAAAACTCTTTTCACTGTAGGAGTAAGATGTTGATTTTAAGAATTCTCTTGTTCATTTTTCACATGATGGGATATGATAAACTATATTCAGATTACATAACTCTCAGAAATTCTGTAACAGAAGTACTTTGGAATGATGCCATATAATGTAAGTGTTTATCATAAATATGAATTAATGATGGTGAAGTAATTTGATATTCTTTAACATTTGACTAAAAAAAGCAGTCCATGCAGAGACCTTGAGCATTATTTAGACAATAAAAGAGGTTTCTTTATTATTTCCAAACATTAGATGACATTTGGAAATATGAATGTATAGGAGGTTTACTTTCTGGATTTATACACATAATTTTCTATGATTTAAGGAAATTTGAATGTATAGAATTCAAACACAGCTGGAGAAAAATTGTCTTTTAGTACAGCCATTTTTAAGATTCATCAGACTTACTATGAAATATTTATGTAGTTTTACAATATTTTGAAGTGCCAAATCTACTAGAACTGTAAAGACAGATACAGGTAGAAGCTAGGCCAGTACCTCTCTAGTATCACAGGTAACTGAGTTATTGTTGAGCCTAAGCTAGCTGTTAAGCTTCCGCTCCAGTTTTGACGAACACACCCCCGGGGGCGGTCCGAGGGACTTTCAGCCCTTTTTCCCCTGCAGCAACCTCTACAGATGATTTTATGCTCGCCGTGTATTTTGAGTGCCAACATAGACACATACACACTTAGAAACGTCCATGTTTTCTTCGTGATTCGAACCCTTGTCCATCGGTAACGGCAATCAATGTCACTAACAGTTCGGCAGCTGAACTGTCAAGACACTCATGATTTATCACCCGGTCTACCTTTTAATTACAGAAATTATAAACTTAAACATGAGTCTATTTATTAACACATCAACCAGCCGCTCATCTAAAACTTTAAAATATAACAGAAACACAAATTCTGCAACTTATGAGCGCTTCAGAACAAACGTTCAAATCAAATTGAATGTAAAATGCAAATTAACATGATACCCCTTGCTTGGCTGTAAGTATTCGCGAAGCAAAAGTGAGTAGTCAAAAGCGAGTTAAGCAGATAAAGTAAAAGTCAACTAACAGGAAAACATAGCAAAGTCTGTTTTGATGAAAGCTCTCTCACCAAATTCAAGAGCTCTGCACGCTTAATTAACATAAACGCTTATGAGAAATTGAAGAAATATGCCGCAGTTATAAGGGTAGAAATTTCTGCTTTTTATATCAAATGGCGCTTATTAAAAGATTTTAAATGCTAAGTTTCTAAGCACTGTATTTTGAAGAAACATCTGTATTTTCTCATTAAGAAAAGGTAAAAATTTCAAAGATACATTCATATGGAGCATTAGTTGCTGCAAGAAATCAGTTAAAAAGAAAAGAACTTTAATTTTATAATAATTTTCTTATTTTCTTTTTATTAATATTTAAATTATTTTTGGGTTAAAATGGAAGCGTTGTATAATTTACTAATGCATTACTTTATTGCAATCACTTCGAATACTTTTCATTTTGTTCTCTTTTAACATTTAAATAAATGTCAAAGATTTCAGGTGTAATTTTTTTCGACTCAACTAATGTAAAATTTCCTGCTCTTGACGGCATGAAATGAAAATCTTAGTTGTCAACTACATAGTTTACTATCTAGTTCAATATAGATTACTGAAAAGAATGCATGTGGTTCCTTTTCCATGTATAATACAGAAATGATTATTTGTAAGCACTTTTAAGAGATTATTAATTATTAATTCATAATAAGTTTTTATTTACGTTTTAAAATAATAAAAGTGAATCGGTGGAGAATATTTGGAATACTGGAATAGGAAATGGTGGTTTAGAGCAGTGGTCTTCAAACTTTGTCCATTCACGGAAACCTAAGAACAATAAGGATTTTCGGGGAAACTGACATCTGCCGTAGACAAATAAATCTTAAAATAATATTAAGTAGTAGTAACAGTAGTAATAAAAGTAGAATTTATTTTATAAGTACTTTATGTAAAGGCAATTAAAGAAAGGAATTGTTTTTTAATTAAAAAAATTAACATAAAATTAGCGTAATTTACTCATTAACAGCATTAACTCCTGCTCCAGGTGACACATACCTTTGCATTATATTTAGTGACAGAGGTGAGCTTGAAACTTTTACGTAAACTGTCTAAGTCTAGCTCTACTGATTTTATCTGCAATCGCATTTCATGTTGTGCATTTAAATTTGTTTCTATATTTTATTTTTACTGCCACATACACTGAGAAAAATTTTAATTGAAATACGTTGTTCTAAATAGCCTTAAATGTTTATATTTGGGGGAGAAACTTCTAGGTATTCTGCGTGAATTTATAACCAACAATTTATGAGATGCTCTTGCTTAAATTTAGACTTCAACGGCGAATCTATTCATATTATAGATACATTTACCCCTTTCCTTCAATAACAAGCCTTCTTGATCCATCGTAATACTCGAACGCACTTTTTTTACCTAGTCATACTTATTATTTTTTTCGCCTCCTGGAAAATAATCATTTATACTTTTCTTCAATTGAAAAAGATTCTTTATTGTATAATTTTTAACACTGTCATTGAAATTTAATTCATTTTCCGTTAGAAAATTGTTTAGTTTCTCAAAGCTTTACGCGTCATTGTCTTTGACGTATGACAACCACATATTAAGTTTGAAAACTAATCTGTAACGAAACTTATGTTTATACTTTTCAGTTAATAAACACTAGTCAACTAGTGCATTAGTAAGTGCTTTATGATTTTCTTTTCGAATTTTTATTTTGACTTGCGGAACCTAGGGTTTGACTCGAGAAATACAGTTTGAAGACCACTGGTTTAGAGGATTAGGGAGTAAACTTCATAATTTTAGACATATACTCGTAAATAGTGAACTCTACATTAAAAAAAAAAAAAAAAAAAAAAAACTATTCTTGCTTTCAGAAATTTGTACCAGGTAAACAAGGAGATTTCAAGCCTTAATTTTTTCATGAAGACACACATGATACGCAATTAACTCAATTAATTTCAATCTTGATAATTCAATTTTTAAAGATGTACGTATTTGGCCTTTAAGGTCCTACCTCCGAAGTTTTTTCTCACGTGTTAATTTTTGAGTAAGATTTCATACTTTTTAATGCAAAAATAAAAGAAAAAATATTTTGTTAAATAAATGTTAAGATAAAAATGTTAGGATAAGTATTAAAAAAAGTGACTTTATCAGACTGAAGCGATCAGCTTCTAATTTTGAACTGAAGAGAAAGATTGAGTTAGTCCTAATTCATACACATTAGAACTAACTATACACCAATTATAATTATTGCAAACGTAATCATGAATGTTGATTTCAGTAGTAATCATCATATAAGATCTGCCTTGTAACTTAGTTTTTTGTGTTCTATATTATGATAACTTGCTTCTATATCCATATTAAAATAAGAATTTGACATTCGATTGATTTATGTCAGGGAAAAAAATGACTAGAAGACAAGTGTTTTACACTGTACTTTTATTAAGCAGCAGAAATCAACGTCAATCCTTGTGCCACATCATATTATGTAAGCAAAAAGAAGTCCCTGTGTACAAGCACAGTTGGAGAACATACACAATCACGGGGCGATTGGGATCCGACACATTTACAGTATTTACAAGCATATGATAAGTACACTATTCAGCATAACAATGAATTTTACTTTAGCCAATCATATAAAGTGTTCTACACTGCTTTGGTGTTAACACTCTCATAATGGCTAATCACATACATTGCATTGCTTAAATACAGTTCTGTCCTTATTAGGAATACATAATTTAAATAATTGATTGTGATAAACATTGGAACTCAGACACCGGAAATAAAACATCACAAGGATTACCCATTCTTAAGAGATAGTTACAGAATATCAATAAAGATCCATACAGTGTACACATGTTGATTTTCTAGACTGAAAATAATTCACATATATCATAAATTGCAATTTCAAACCGATCATATTGGAAAGAGAAAAAACTGGCCCAGGAAAAAGGCAAATTTTTTCCATGAAGTAAAATCAGTTCTGGTTTAATTAAAATCACAACTTAAAACAAATAGTTCAAATTATAATGCCTAATTTAAACATATAAAACTGCTGGTATCATAGTTTAAATATTTATTTACCAGACGTTTGCTAAAAATTACAGTACATTGCTCTTGAAAATATCGTTTTACACTTAGTGACACTCAATAGTTCTTCCATCAAGTATTGCACAAAACAGTGATTCATTCTTTGTCCAGTCAGTTCACTTTAAACATTTCATTTTGAAACAAAATGATAATATGTTAGACTATTTGTATTGTTACATAGTGCACTACTCTGAAAATAATATATATATATATATATATATATATATATACCTGTAGAAATTAGAATTTATATTTTGAGTGATCATATCTTACATATCATGAAAACTAAAACTGCATTCCCTTATATTCAGTAGCAAAAAAATTAATAAAATTAACTGATTTTAAATTAAAAAAGCTTGCTCAAAAATCAGAACATTCAGATGCATAGTTCAGTTACCACACATATTTGAAATATATCGAGTATTAATATTAGAAAAATTATTCTTTATTGATCAGTTATTTTATTAAACTTATATTTACTTATATTTGTGAAATCAACTGCAGTTACTCAGTAAATTCCACTTTTGCACTTTCTTGTGTTAAGTTACTCATATTGCTTTAATTCTAAAGAGAAATTTTGAAAACTTTCAAAATAAAGTTAGATTGTTTTTAATAGAGCTATAAATGATGTAAAATGCTTTAATTGAAGATATTTTACTGAAATTTTTATTAATATAAGTTAAAATTTTTAGTATGAAATGAAAATTTGCTCTGACATCCTGAAACACGGACTTCAAAATTTGTGGTTATCAGCGAAAAATTCTTTATTTGTATTTATGTCTTTAAATATTCAATGAATAATAATCAGATAATAGAAAAAATTAAAGATTATTCAGTCAGCTTGAAAGCAAACTGATCTGATCCTAAACTAAAGGCAAATCCCAAATGTTTTGAATAGCTTGAACAATACAAAAAATCTTTTGAACCTACAATAGTTTACAAAAACGTTTTTCTTATCTAATTTACTTCCTTGAAACTATTCATAATAATAGTGTAATGATAATGAAGGTATGCGATACATAAAATATAGGCTCATATAAAATGCTCTAGCAAATGTAGAAAATGAGGAATCCTTCTCACTTGCAAACTCTTGAAATTTCATTTTTTACTAACAGTAAGTACAAAAGATGATACACGTCCTTATAAGCAGTTTTGATTACTTACTTTTTTTAACATGATATAATGCACCAATACATCTCATTTTATACAGTTAAGTCACGGACAACATGACACTTTGTGCTTCAAATAGACAAATAAATTCACTCATTGTCATTCACATTGCAATTTCCACAGTACTAAATTCATTCCAATTTAGTAAAATATCCATTTGATACATTTACACCGATCTATACATATACAAACTTTCTCTGCAACAAATGAAACACATAGTAAAAGAATCCCAAACTAAAAGGTAATAAATAGGCCTATATAATATTCCACACTAATCTACGTAAATATGAGCGCCTTGTATTTACAGACAATTAAATACTTTACTTCGTGGTACAAACATATATTTTGCGTTTAAATATCTTAACATTTCTTTATTTCCAAATGAGAATTACATCACAAACTGCAACGATATACCACATTTTAAAAAAGAGATTAAGGAATGTCATAATGCACAAGCTCCCGAATATCACTCCTATTAACAGGGAGTTTCCTTGAATGCAAAATTTAATATGATTGCAAGAAATATGACAGCACTAATTTTTGTTTGTTTGTTTGTTTCTAATACATTTCTTCCGCAGAAGCTTTTCAGATTTAATGAGTAACACTCAATTCAAATCAAGTTGGCAGCTTAAAATTATAAGATAACCAGAACACTATACTTATAGATAGTATTTAAAATTTACATAATGAAAGAAGATTTGAACAGACTGAAAATAAATAATATAGACAATGACAGTGTAGTAAGAAGATAATTTAACTCATTATCTAGTTATCTGTAAAATGAAAAAGTGCCGTAAATGCACTCTAAATGTTCTATAAACATTATAATAGTTTAAATGAATTAAATAAGTTTCAAATTTTCATATTTAATCTGAAACTCAAAATAACAGAACAATGAAGCGAAAATATCAGCAGAAATATGTTTTAAAACTCCGAGTTTTAATTATAAAAAGCATTCAAGTACACAATTCTTTCCCGTTGAATATGCGAATTATTTCATAAACGTAAATGATTTTTATGCCTTTGCTCAAATTAAGCCACATTTTTAATTTCATATGTTTAACTCTCGAGAAACTTGTCAATTAAGAAATGCAGTTACATCTTTTATTGTAATAGATGTTTTATTTTCGACGTGCCATATTTAATGAAATTTTCAATGAAAACAAGGCATTAAACTAATTTACAAACTGTGTAATAATATTTATTATATATAATCATATACTGTCACACTGTGATATTAAAATATGAAATAGCCGTCAAATTTCTGAGCCACTTAATATCCCGGCTTTAAAATAACCTTTGTCTCTAGCAGTTTTCAGTGTTAATGTAACTAAATTTATTTATTAAGTTCTACTTGTTAAAAATTTAATGCCCTTTTCTGGTTTTAATTTTTTTCTCATTTCCTTTCAGTTTGCCGAAATTCAAGATTACAAGTTCTAAAATTCCTTCTAATTTTATCATTTCATGAAGCTTTCTCAAAGCAATACAATGGTAACCCACAAAAAAATTTTAATCTTAATTCTTTGTATTACAGAAAAGAGGTTTCAAGAGACTGATATGCAAATTTAAAATTTAAACATTATGGGTATTTATAAACTTTCAGATCAGTTATACTTATCAGATCATAATATATATTTATTAAGAAACCATTGAATCGTTGATTACCATTTTCTTGCATTAAGAAGCTAAATTATTCCCAAAATTCCTCATTTGATAATTTTTCTCAAAATGCTCAATGAAAGCTGTAATTAATATTTCCTAATAAAAAATAAATGTAATAAAAGTGATAATAGGCGCGTTTTAATAGTTCAGTGTTCACAATATTCACTAAAATTAGAGCTATATACATTAGTAGTGGCCAGTTGGTGAGCTGAATTCGCCAGGCCGAATTCGGCAGCTGAGGTCTTTCTCTGATGCTAGCAGCTAGGTTTACAAAATTAATTATTGTTGACCAAAAATATGAATTTATGTGAATTTTTATATTTCTTTCTCATTTAGGACACCTTTATAGGAAGATTATGGAAAATTAATCCCAAAAGAATGTTTATGAATGATCTTGAGTGCCTATTGTTCCAGGATATAATCCTAAATGTTTATTAGTCATCACAAATTGGACGATCCACTTCCCTAAGATACAAATCAAACTGGCACTCGAGGGCGCAAATGTTGTATATTATACGATGTATATTAGCTTGATAAAGGTATTTAATTATTATAAACTATTTTAGATTTTGTAAAAAAATCCTGACATCCCGATGTTGCATCGTTAGAACAATGCGTTTAATGCTATCTCTTTGAAACAATGCGTATACAATAGATGGTAATTAATTTATTGTCACGTTATGTTCATTCAGATATGTTTATTCTAACCCGCTATAACTAAACCAAAACTTTATTTTGAAAGAACATTTGAATAGCTCTGAAATTTATTTTCGTTCGTTAACGTAATAAATTTATTCCTTTCAGAATAAATAACGTTACGATTATAATTATCTTCGTCGTTAAACATTGCGATTGACTGAAACCTAATTAACCAATATAAAAAGTTACTGAATATTAATAGTTCCTTAGTTGGTGAAAATGTTATCACTCGAAAACGAAAATAAGATACAGTAAAAAAATCCTATAAGCCTTTATTTGACCCTCATTGGAAATCAATCACTGTTTTGTGATTTTTTGAGAAGTCGGAAGTGAGTAATCTTTAATTACACCAAACATCTTCCGAAATAATGAACGCTATCGTTTTAGCAATTAAAAAAACAAAGAGGTGATTAATAAAGAAGGATAATTAATGCAAAGTAATGTGGTTAAAACATCATTAACTTCGAATGGAAATTCCCTGTTTTTAAATTTTAATTTGTTGATTAGCTCTAAAATTGACTAAAATGCGTTAAATAATCCTGAAAGAATCTAATGACTCAGCCTGATGAAATACATAATGTATTTATTAAGCAAAGCATACTTGCAAGTATCATGAATTATATTGAAGAATGCTAACGTAATAATCAAAGGAGGAAACTAACTTCAAGTTTGAAAATAGTAGTCTTTGCACCTTTCATTAAAATATAAAATGAAGACCGTAGCATATTTGCTATTACATGATTTGCTCTGAAGAATTTCACTCCTTAAGTACGTTTTATGCTACATATTTTAGTGCTCCATATTTTTAATGCCCCATATTGTTTTAATGCCACATACTGTATTTTTAATGCCACACTGAATTTATTTTACAGGACGTTAATCGAACAATAATGTTCAAATTTTTCAGAAATTCTTCATTAATGCGACAGTAGATATTACTGTATCATTTTCACTAATTCTTGTTATTTTATTTACTTTATATTTCATAAATTTATTACTTAGAGGGAATTAAATATTTTTTGTATATTCTGTAAGAACATCGCTGTATTTAGCTTTTCATTCATTTTCATTCCATTCAATCTTTCTTGGAAAGGTATATAAATTCCAATAATTTAGCTTATGATTATAAATTGAATGATTTATTGCATTAATTTCTCGTAAGTATTAATAAAATGTCTACATGTTTGAAAAGCTAATTTAAAATGAAAGGAAAGCATGTAAAAGTTCACCATGACATGCCTAAATTGCTACATACTGAGTTTCTAAAATACAAAATTCAGATTAAGTAAACTCCTTAAATCAAATTAACTACTATTCCAGACCCCCAATACACGACTTAGGTAAGCTAAAAAGCAGAAATATTCCCATGTTGAATTTTGAGTGGAGTTTTGCCAAATTTTATTGAAGAATTTTTTATCTCTGTTTAAAACCTCAGATCGGGAAACTTGACTAATTTTAAGAAGAAAAAAATATAAATACACTAATTAGGAGGTACAAAAACTTACGTGTTTGTATATTTTCGCTTTTTATTCCAAGTCAAATTTCTTATTTGGATAAAATTCAGTTTAGACTGAAATCCTATTTCATATTAATTGTACCAATTCTTATGAAATTTAAGTTAGTGATGAAGCAAATAAAAAGCTTAAAACAGCTTCTGTTCTCTAAGGGATTTTAAACTACAATATATAAAAATAAGCATAAATTTAATTAATTAAAAAGAAGTACTAAAACGTCCTAAATCAGCTTTCGTAGCCTAATCAAATTTTTCGAGTGATTCTTAACGTGCGGCGAAAAAACAACCACGAAAAATACATCTTATCGTCTTTCCTGGTGGAAGATTCTTAACGCTATAAGTCAAGCTCCCCCACATTCACGCATCGAATTCTGACCATGCGAAAGAGAAAAAACTGCCTCTTTTTGTCCCGATGGCAGCCTTAAGCTCTGCTCCATTTTATTTCCTCTTTCTTCATCGTCTTTGACCACTAGTTCTTAATTGTTCAAACCGTTTTCTCTTCTTATTGCTCCTTCTTAGCCTTTTTCTTTTTCTGCTTCCTTTCTTTCTCCGGTAGTCTTGGCTCTCCGAATCTTCTCAAAAAAACAAAATCTCTGACATTTTTATTTCATTTATTTCCTCTCCTTCCTTTTTCTATTCTTTGCTAAGAAGATAAATGTCTGTTCTACTCCAGTTCGCTTACACTGTACAAATATCTGCCCAATCCATGCAAGAACTTCAGTGATAATTGGTGGGTTATTTGAGATGAGAAGTTTAAATCGAAAGACCGGTATTAAATAGTTGAAATTTTAAATCTTCTGAAGAATTTTATTTTTAAGTTTCAAAGCACTTATTTATACTACAGAAGAAAACATTGTATTTTGATACTGCGGTTAGAATAATCACAGGAAAAAAAAAGACAACGTATGATTAATTAAATTGTTCACTCTTCCTCTACTTTATTAGTTTTTAAAAGCGCAAATCCGATTGCATTAAAAATGAATTTCTTGCCAACTATCGCATTTTAACAAATGAAGGAAAAGCATAAATTCATACTGCATCCCAAACTTATAGAAATAGTTTTAGGTGAGGGAATAATTTAGTATCAAAGCAACTGCAAAAGTAATTAGTCATTTTGATGAAACTATGTCATCAGTTGATTTACAAAAATAAATCATCTCCACGTTTTTAAATTTAGTAAGTAAAAATACTCTAGTACTAGCTTAAACCTGATTTAAAACAATATTCCAAATTTCTCTTTCTAATGAATTCATAGACAACTAACGCATTTGAAAACAGATTGGCTTATGAATTAGTAGTTTAAAAGTTAAGGTTTAGTTTAATTACTTAATTTCTGCATACACCCTTATACATTTAAGTCTCTATGTTATTTCTTCGTTTGAAACACAGATTCTTTCATAAGAAAAGGATGAAAGAATCACGAACTATAGTAATAAGACATAATATTAATAGTAAATAATAACTAACTATTTTACTGCCCCTTCTATAACGTTAGACTAATATTTGATAATCATGCTTTCGAGAATTATGACTTTTCGAAAATAAATCTCAGTATTTTCGATATCAAACACTTTATTAAAAAATATTTTTCATGTCTATTTGAAAGGATAGCATATGAGTTAATTCAAGTCGATAAAAATGCTCTTTTGCAGTTTGAATAGTCTAACCTCCTCACGTTAAATTACTTGCTTATTTCCAGATCCTACAGCAGACTGAAAATGAATTTCATATGTACTGGATGGCCAGATAAGATGATGAAGTAAACAGAATATACTTGCCTTCCGTGGACTTCATAGTAAATTAGCAGCATGTGAAAACTTAACTCTTTCCCAAGAAAAAGTAAATTTCATTTAAAATCCATCGTTGAAGGGACGATACACCATTATAGCCAAATTTTTACGGTAGCTTCAAATTCGCGTAAAGCAAGATCGTTAAGAACGCATTAACATAGGACACAGATATATACCATTCAAACAACTGAGAGAGGAAACGAATAAGGAAATGAAGTATGTACGAGAGAAAGACAGGAAGAAGCTCCCTCGGGAAACAGACAAAAAACATAGAGTGAGGGGGGGGAGAAAAACTGCTAAGGGTAGGAATTGCTGGAATTATCGTTGAGTGACCTGAGCATTCCTATCACTTCCTTTGAGTGAAAAACGTCTCACTTGTCTTATTGGTTAGCTTTACTAATGAAAGTGTTGCTCACAAGCTCTGATGCACTTAATGTTGTTTTTTCGCCTTCTTTCCTTTCCGTTTAGCAACGAAGCTTTCTTTTATTTTCTATATATATAGATCTCAGACGTGATGTTTTTATTTCTCTTTCAAGAGAATCGATGATTTCAGAGGTGGGGAGGCTTTGTTTCTTTCTTCCTGCGTTCTTCCTTTCTTTCTCTTGGGAAGTGGAAGTCCGGGGATGGAATAAAAGACAAACCTTCGTCTTCTTCCTCTGGCCGATAAGAAAAATTATAACGAATAACTGCTGTCAGTTCTAAAATAATAAAGAGTAAAAAATAATAACAGCTGAATTCACAGTTTACATACTGAATCACAAATTTGTAAAAATAGATTTACTTACAGAAAATCAATACATTCTTCGAGCACAAAATATAAGTTTTTTTTTTTTTTTTTTTTTTTTTTTTTTTTTTTTTTAATTTAAGCAATAAATGCACAACCTCGTTTCTTCCAACGATTTCCGTAATGATTAGTAATAACGCAACAAGAGAAACTAAATATCAAATGCATAATAAATCGAAAATCGCTCAAAATCCATTACATTTTAATTGAGAAAATGTGATTCTAAATTTACGATAATGTAAAAATTATACATAATCGTTTAAAGCAATTTCAAAATTATTTCAAACTTTTATGCAAGTTATATACTGAACATAGAGGAATGCGAATAATTACTTACGTAAAGAAATGCAATGATACGATTACTAAAAGTTGATTTTAAAATAAATGAAGCATAGTATGTAGAAAAGCAACAGAGATTAACTGTACATAGACTTTCGTATAATTTAAAAAATGTTAAAGTAAAATTCATGATTCCTAATTCAAGCAGGGAGCTTAATTACGAATTTTTGATAGATACTTGTAAAGAAGGCGAAGCATATATTAGAGATAAACAGGGTAAAAGTGAATAGAATGCACATATTTATCAGCTGCGCCTTTGTAAGTCAAATTTTATTGCCTATGAGACAGTAATAAACATGGAAGAAAACGGCATAAAAGAAACTCTAAGCTACTGAGGTCGAACTTCAGTTCTTGCTATAGGATGCAGTAGGACTCTTAACAAGACCAATTCTATCAACTCGCTTGTAAGATCTAAATTCCTGGAAGCCTGATTGGGAAAATGAATGAGATGAAGCGTAACCTCATTTCACTGGGTCAAGTCTAATTTTACCCTCATTTACCTGAGTGCTTTCTCTTTAGTCAATCACAATCATGATGATCTCTGTGTCGGTATAGATTCGGTTTGGTATAAATCCTGTATTTTAAGGCTTCCTTTAGATAGTTAAAATATTTTGACTAAATAGTGATGGAAATGACTTTTTTCCTCTCCTATACATATGACCTTTTTGAAAAATTATAAAATACCAATTTTTTTCTAGTTTTTCCTACTTTTCTGCTAATTTTTCCTACTTTGGGCAAAAAAAAAAAAAAAAAAAAAAAAAAAAATGTTGCATAAGTGTTATTCTATTCTGCTATTTAGTGCATTAGCGGAATTGCAAGTCCATAGTGACCTTAGCCCACCAGTAAGATTTCATTTTGAAATAATACGAAAAAAAAAACATTTTTTACTAAAATTATGTTTTCGTTTCACTTTTTTTTTAATCAAAATGATTCCCAATGTGAAATAAAAAAATAAAATTCTTTGAGCAACTTTATCACGTTTGGAGTATTTTACTACTAGTTTGTCATTCCAGAAGATTCAAGGCATCTTCAATAATTTCCCAGACAATTATAAAAAAATTTAAACTTGTCATTTGTTTCCTGTCATGGAATACATGAGAATTTTTAGGTTGTATGGAAAGGAACGATCCAAAAGATTGAAGGACACTGCTCTACGCTAAGACTTAATGGTAACCGATTCTTTCTTAAAATAGATTCCGGACGAAAAATATTGTCTATCATGATTTAACTTATCTTGACACACTCAAATCCTGTGACGTGAATTTGGTAGTATTCAGCTTTAAAATGTCATTAGATTTAATTTAATTAATTGAAAGATTTTTTAACACTATCTTTCAGAAGAAATTTTTATTTAACGGATACGTTCCTCCTATTGCTGGGTTTAATTTTGAAATTCGTCTCAACCTTTTGAAGGAATTTATCAGGAAAATATGAGATTTATGGGGTTCACATGGTACCCTATAAATCTAGAATCCTAAAACTGCTCACATGTGCTATTTAATATTGTATTGTAAAGAAACAAAAATCAGACTCTTTTGCCTTTATTAGCTGAATTAATTTATATGGCTGGAATATGTTATTAAAGAACGCAAAATGATCGTTTTAAAGATTCCTGACTTATAGGCGCACTGCATATTAAGTACCTCAGTTCAGTTTCAGAAACGGCCAACTCACATGCTCATTAGTAAAATGCTAATGGAAAATTTTTAAAGAAAGCAAAAGACAATTCTCACATGAAACTTGATGAATGATACTTAATATTACACGAAAAATGCTATATTTACTAGAGATTTAATAGAAAGGTTATTAGAAAATAACTGAAAGTTTTAAGAATCTTCTCTGATTTTTGACAAAATTTCAATGAAGCAATTTTCTATAAAATGTGATATAAAGCTGGAATAATAGTTTAAATTCTTAAGACTATTCTACTGTTATTTCATCTTAAGATAGTAAGAATGTGTTAAGATATAAATACAATTCAAATGCGTGATTAGTTCCGCAAAGCACAGCTTTCCCTTACTAAAAACACTCAAGGCTCGAAAAGTATTATTACCTTCATTACATTTAACTTGTGTTTTCAACGGAATACCTGGGGCATTTGTTAATACAAAAAACTGCCAGAGAAATAAAAAATACGTAATTTGAAGATCAAGATTCTTCGTAACCCTTTATTTTACATTTTGCCGCATGCAGTTGATGATGTTTTGCAGATCATTCTGTTTAGTATACTGTCCTTTCTCGATACATTAGTGTTTAATGGCGAATAAATGAATACATCTAAAGTTTTTTCTACATCATTAAGAAGCATTTAGTCCTGTTTAGAAAAGAAAAAAGTAAATTTTTGTATCTTATCCATTCCTTTATTTGAGATTCACTAATATAAATTATTTCTGAAGGCTGCAGCATGCATGATCTTCTTTTGATAGTGGAAGTCTAAACTCTCTGGAACTTCTATTGAATTTATAAACAGTGTTTAAATATAAGAAAACAGGTTGAAAATATCATCACTAGGTCTAAATGGAATGAAAATATCATGATCAGTTTCAAATAGAAATAGGAAGCCTTCATAATTCATTTTGTAGAATGAGAAGAAAATACTGATTGGTATTCCATGCAAATAGCAGATAACGATAAATAACCTTCATTCATCGAAAGACGGAGTGATCAAAATGTAATTACGTTCAAAGACCTAGTCAAGACTCGCTAATTAATTCAGAACTACGCGATTTCGACAACAGTGTTAAATACGAAAGATATTTGGAAATACAAATAGATAATTTTTTCTTTGCGAAAGATAGGTACTGTAAATTTTGTTTTCAATTTTAGAAAGATTGAATTGTTAAGCGTATATTTTACATAATTATCGGAGAGCTATGTATATATATATATATGTATATATATATATATGGATAATACTTTTATTATTCCATCACTCTTTTTAAGTTAATTATTCTCGGCACTTTTTCATTTACAGAAAGAAACTCTCTTGTGAAGAATGATATGTTTTTTACAAAAAATCATCTAACTCTATGCATTTATCCGTTGCATTTTGTTCAAATAATGGAGAAAAATGCCGGGGAAATTGAAAAATAACTCTAGCAGCTCTTTTCTTGATGCAAAGTTTGAGAATTTCAGATATTCTGGCAAACGATTGAAAAAAGGTAGGGATTTAAAGGAAGAAAAAAAGAGAATACAGAAACTGCTTCGAAGAAATGTAGCACTGTTCAACCAAGCCCAAAATGCAAGATCAGCGCAAATATCAGGTGACTAGTCATGCAGAAGTCTGGGAAATTCTCTGAGTGAATTCATCGTTCGCTCAAGATGCACAAAAAAAGCGGGAAAATAGAAGAAGAGTTTTCAAGCTCTTTTAAAAGGGAAAAAAATCACATCCTTCCCCTTTATATTCTAACTTCAAACTGATTTTCCTCTTATTATCGTTTCAAATACTTTACGTATAAGATTTTGGAAAAGATGATTAAGGAATAAAAGTATCATGTTAGGTAGAGCAACTAAAATATTTCTTGCTGTGTTATGAATATTCAGTTTAAACTGAAGGTATTTGTACTTATTCCGGCCTTTTGGGTTAAGAAGCGACTGGCTTCTGCAGCAAATTTTGTTGTACTAAGCCTGGTTCAATGATGAAAATTAAGAAATATTGAATCATTACAGAAATGCTAACTAGTTAAAACGAGCTATCTTGATTGTACCTACGTATGTTTAGATTATAAAAGTATGCTTTCTTTCATGCTGATAATTCATGGTAATGCAAATATGCCTCATAAATAATGGGACGTTTTGTCTATAGTACTATATTATCAACATAAGGTTAAGGTTTAAGGTTTCTTTAATATCGTGCAAATGTACCCACATGAAGGCGGCAAATGTATCGAGATAAAAAAAGTGTAGGAATATTTAAATCTTCCAACTCCATTACTCTAGCTTTCATTGAGCAATCTGGTTTAACAAACTGGTCTATTCCTACAAGGGATAGGGAGTTAATAATTAGATTTGTATAGGTATAAATTTGAACTATATTGTTTTAAATATGATTTTAAACTTAATTTTCCGCAATAAATTATTCAACTGCAATCTGTTCATTTCATCTGAAAAATAAATAATAATAATAATAATAATAATAAAATAACAGTATTTCAAATGAAAATTGCTCACATTTTTGATTTAATTAATTCTATTGCGCTGAAATTCTGCATGGAACTTATGAGTTATATACAATTTTTTTCCATGCACATCAAATTAGCTTCAAATAAAAATTAGTAAACAAAAAGAATTATGTTGTATATTTTACCATATAATAGAAAACTAAGATTTCCACATTTTTGCTATTATATTTCTACTGACTTTTGCTTATGTAATAATTAATTAATAATTTCCCTTTCTGGACTTATATTTATGTTTCTCAACATGTTATGAATGAACCACTTTCCCTCCCCTCTATATTGAGACAATTTTTGAAAAGACTTTCTCGTATCTTCGTCCCCTGTAAAAGTAACTTCTTACGTGCATTTGATACCATATGTACATCAGTTTATCTTCCAGTCAGCTGTCCATAGAGATTCTCTAACGTAGTAAGCAGCCATTGCTATAAAAAAGTCGACTCTGGCATAGCTTAGTGAAGGGGACGACAGTTTTTGATCGACATTGAGTAATGACTTCGTGTCGATATTCTTTTCTCTTCTTTTCCTTTTTCCAGTTTTATTTTTATTCTGTTTTTGTACATTGTGTGTTGTCATGGCAACGAAAGTTGAAAAAAGTTCCATCCGGAGCCCGTCTTCAGTGTTTTCTAATGCTGGATGGTGCCGCCGTCCCCTCCCTTGCTCTAGCTATATATCTATCGATATGCGCACACGACTCGAATTTCTGTGGGACTTTCACAATGCAAACCATGGCAATCTTCAGAACGCTTTAATCGCAATTTATCTTCATCTTCTTGGCCTATTTGGAGGCCTCCATAAAATTGCTAGTTTAAAACAGCATTTTATGTTATCCTACCAGTTTTGGTAAAGAGATTAAAATAATATTTTACACCTTATCCATTTTGAAACAAGTTATTATCAGGCTGAACACTTGATATTGCTATTTCGAGCCTTTCATTTCTAGACAAGGAGGAGAGAAACGTTGTCCCACAGCTTTAAAAAGGTTCTTTTACAAAGACGAAGCAATTTAGGATAATTTGAGTTTGGAATCTTAGTTACCTCATTCGGGAGACCACATGTGCCAGCAGTTGCACATCACAATCTTAGATCTCTTCGTTGAAACCCATCTCATTTTTTACCCAGCATTCTACAACATACAAAAAGTTTTTCATACGTTACGAATACACATGTTTTTGATGGCGAATTAAACTGAGGGGATTGATAAATACTTTTTAGTGTCATATCTATAGTCACATCTCTTCTAGTCTATGATAAATAGAAGAAACGAATGGAGTCTGCGTCTCGTCAGCCTTCTGATTACAGGTCCGTGCGAACGAGATCTAAAGCTGTGACTGATATACATGGCTTTTAGTGACGTATGTTTTAATGCATGTTATCGTCTTTATCAAATCAGAATGAAATGCGAAGTTACGCTTTGGTTTCCCCATGCATGTGATGTGGGAGGTGATCCGGTATAACCTGAGGTATTTGTGGGGGCATTGTTGACGCCATCTTATGTTCTTTCTTCCACTTCATGCGCCGGTTCTGGAACCAGATTTTGATTTGTCTCTCACTGAGACAGAGAGCATGGGCTATCTCAATTCTTCGTCGACGGGTCAAATATCGGTTGAAGTGGAATTCTTTCTCCAGCTCCAAGGTTTGATACCGGGTGTAAGATGTTCTTTGGCGTTTAGTTTCTCCCATAGAATTGACACCATCTGAAAGATTAAAGGGAAATTGAAATCAAAGAAACTGAAATTGTTGGAAATTAATATTGAGATAAATATACAATATTTAGTTCAACAGCGTTTCTCAATCGAACTCTTTGAATGAAATATCATAATATTTCACGTAAAATAATGCAAAATTAAAGTACTATGGTGTATTCAATAGTGCTATTTAATATATGTATAATGAGAAAGAATCATTAATCTTGGAAATGCAGAATATTTAATAATTTCTTAATGAAGCATAACTTGCAGCGGAAACATAAAATTTGATTTTTCAAATTACGTGTCTTCTGTCAGACACCGTGAGATGATTAAATGTGTTGAAAGGAAATAGGAACTCACTTAAAACACCGTAAATTAAAATAATACAGAAATTTACAAAAATAAATTATAAAACTATAGCATTTTGAACATCACATTTTTTGGCTTATGAACACGGCTTTTAACTATTGAGAATTCCTTTCATGTCCTATAAAAAAGGCACTTACTTTCCAAACAACCAGAAATCGTGCAAAATATAAAACGCGTAATTTGAGTAGGAAAAAAAAAATAAATAAAATTTAAAAATTTCTGCTAAGTCTTAGGTTAAAAATATTCCATGAGTAGTGACTGAGTTATAGTAAAATAATAATTTTGTTTTCTATCACTTTTGTTTAAACAAACACTTTTCTGAAAAACAATCAAGAACTTCTACACTCATTATATTAAACGAGAGATTGAGATACTCTGTTTGGTCTGCATACATGAAATGGACTTTTAAACAATCAACTACTGTATGTATTGTAAGCATATTTTAAGGATTTTTACTTTAATGAGTAATAAAACGTTTATGATTAATAAATTTAATGAGTAATAAAACGCATTTTAGTATTTTAATGCTAATTAGTGTGTATTTTTGTAGTCGTAATGAGAATAGTTAAGAAAAATAAAGTAATGTTTCACACCTTTTGAAATGTATTTTAAATGTGACATAACACAAAATTTCTGTATTAATCTCACCATTAAAGAAAGCGGGCTTATTAGATAAAAATGTTTAATAACTTCTATGCGTAATGTATTTGTGCATAACATATGAAATGTAAACTGAATTGCCCTGAGCTTTCTCACCTACCTGCAAATTATGCTTACCTCTTGCAACGTCCTTTTTATTAGTTAAGAAGTAGGAAATAATTATAGTTGTAATTTTGCAAATTATTTAACTAAGTGATTGAAGTTAAAATAACGAGGAGGTAAATGAACTGAAGAAAAGCAATAGAATTTTAGAGGTATAAGATTTACAAATGTAAGGCGAGAAAACTTGAAATAATCTGGTTTAATTTAACATAGAGATTGAAGATGACTTTAAAGTTTAGTATATAAATATATAACGCAACATGTGATGATTCTAAACGCTGAGAAAAGCTTTATCTTTCATAAACCGCTTCAGGAATGACAGGAACTTTGGACATGAGTGACAAATAGAAAGTGCTACTTGCTGTAAGTATGAGCATCATGGTCCCCCGTCTTGAAATGCATTTTAAATAGGAAAAAGAAAGCATAATACATAAATTTAAAATAGAATTTTCTTACTAACACCCTGCTCAGTTTGCTTTTGTTAAAAGGAAAATGATCTATAAGTTGAATGAATTGTTAAATGGCCTATTAATGCTTGATTCCAGGGGGTCCAACACAGCTGCCCATGAGCGAACTGACAACGTTCTTATGAATACCGAAAAAAATCATTATACCATAATTTTGTGCGACAGTTTATGAGGTCTGTCCCTCGTGGATTTAAACCACATCAGTATCTGTAATTTGTTTATTAACTTCATCATTCACAGAGAAAAGAGATTAATTACTGAACAGAAACTTCTTGGGAACACGGGATTACCATCAGTTTTCCGCAGAGTCCGTGTGGCAACCTGGAGTTGCTTTGCGAGATCTTTTTCCTCTCTAATGTTACATAATTTAAACTTTATGAAGATGCCTCTTTCTTGCATCTAACACCTGTATTGTCATACTTTCAACTTCATTTTCCAAGTAAGGCATACTCGCCCTACTTTCAAGATTCTTTATTAAGAAATCCATAAATGTAATGGCTCCTATTCATTTGCTGCAAGTTAGAGGGTTCTTTTTCAAGTTTGTCATGCACTGATCCATTTCGCGGAATATTTTTAAAATAAACTGACTAGAGCTCTGGGAACAATGTTAGCTCTGCTGAGATGAAAGTTGTTGAACTTACCAACAATAACATGTTAACCTCTTCCGATGTCCCATAAGGACGGTCTCATTTTGTTTTTAGACAGTCAGTGCCTTGCTGGATCATGCAGAATTAAGAATTAACAAACAAACGTCGATTTAAATAAAATACGTAGGTTGTTATTCATTTAATGTATAAGATATCAGAGAGCTAACTGTACTCTTGTATTCTTAAGAAAATCCAGCTTAAATTTACTTATCCCATGCTCCTTTCCCCATTTAAAATTGTTCATTTTATATTATGACAGACAGGTGCGACTCTCATGCACTCTTACAAGTGGCCCTTTCTGCCCGTCACCCATACGAAAGATTTCGATTATGAAAGATGATCGTCATATGAAAGATATTGATTCCTGAAATGGTTTGCAAATGAGAAAGGTATTTCCAGTCCTTTGACTAACTCTGTTTATTAAATATATCTCCAGAATAAAGCATAATAAGGTTGATATACAATGAGTTCGAAAAAGGTGCCTACATGCTTTATTTCCTTAAAGCGTGATTATAGATATGCACTTTCAATTGCAGAGTTTTTTTTTTTTTTTAAATCAGTAGAAAATCTTATGAAAACAGTTTCAGCTAGAGGGTGTGATGGTCTTTAATTACAAAATTTAACTTTTTAAATGGTATCCAAGGAACAAAATCTTATATTACTGAGATGTTCAACATGTTTTAAAAATTTAAACAGAATACGTTTCATGCCTTCATGTGCAAAATTCATGGAAGTATTATTAATTAATGGATCCAAAGAGCTAGTTTTAATGCTAGTATTGAGTGCTTTCTTTCACAGTACGGTATCACTACGAAGCAAATTCCGTTTTCTAAATTCTCACTAAATCTAATTGGAATCTCTTAGTAATACGCATTGAAAAGCGACCCGAGAGAATTTTCAACTGACTTGTATTGAGGAATAATTATAATTCTTATTTTGATAATTTATGATTAGAATTAAATATCTAGCATCAATATTTAAGAAAACGTAACCTGCAGCTATTTTTTCCTAATACTATGTGAACTTAATATTGCTGAATAACTTTACTCATGTATGAGTGCGTATTATATAGCTACAGAAAATATCATATAACATGAAAAATAATAAAAATAAGCATTTTTTAATTTGATCAAAAGCATCAACTTGTGCCTAGTTGCGTTGAAAACTACAGTTAAATCTACAGATAAGTCGTACATTAAAACTGCATAAGCATATTGTTATTGCATATGTATGTCTATACATATTGCTCTTTTATTCTTGGCAAAGAATCCTAGAAAATTACATATGGGTTTGTGTATAATATAAACACAAACCCACATGTAATTTTCTTTAATTTGCGTTTTACCAGTTTATTTTGTTACACGTAGAAAATAGGCTTAACCTTCAAATATTTAACACGGCATTTTCTTTTTCGTTCCGATTTTCAAGATTTTGATTTATATAAGATTGATACATATAAAACTGAATTAATTAACAGAAAATCATTGATATCGAAATAAATTTCCTAATACTTGCGCAAGAGCTGCAAAGTAATATAGTAAGAATTTATTTGCTAATGGAATATTCAGTGTATTCTATCCTTATATAAAGTTAGCAGAATTGTATCGGAATGAAGTAACCCTGAAACATTGAAACTGAATCCCGAAAATATTTTTTAAAAGAAACTTGAATTTTAATCATAAAAAATAGAAATGGAAACTTTTAAAATGAAAGTTAATCAATAAACTAAGTAATTATCGTCATTGATCGGAAATTGGTTGACTTTTCAAGGGGAACAAACAAAATAAAAAGACTATTAAATAGTACAACAAAATCCCAAGTTTATTCATATATACATATATACAGCTAGATGAATAGATATAGTAAAGAGAGAAAGAATTCTTTGTCAGAGATTAATATTTCACTTCAGTACTTTGGTGGAGAGACGTCGGTGAAGCGCATGGCGCCATGGATGAAAGGCAAGTAATTTTCTAAGTGATAACATCCCAATGTCAGAACTCTTCTTCATAGATACAAGGTTTTTCATGTTCCTAAGCAAAGGTTATCTTCTTAGTTTAGTTTGAAAAGTTAAAACTTAAATGAAGGGCTTTATGTTTTTCAGAAATTAGAGCTGAAATTCTATAATTCTGTAAACACTGATTTTAAGTAACAAAGTGATTGCAAACGCAGCACGGTTAATGAATTAGATTGCCTTAATTCAGGAATATACACAGAATTTATGTGCCAGTGGAAAAGCGGCCTTCCTTTCAGTTTAGTTTCTTATTTGAATGCAGCAGAACACACAAAAGTTATCTGCCTAAGGGGAGGGATGGCTTCTTGGAAGACTTCCTGAGAAAAACTCAATCACATTTACGTTACACATGAGGAAAACTAGGGGAGCACCTAAGCAACTAACTTGTTTGCGGGGATTCGAATCATGTTTGAACTGCCAGCATTTAATGGTATTTTCCATTCTGCCACACCTTTCTTTAAGTGCATCTTCAAAGGATATCCTTAGTTACAATAAATAGCCTACGCACACTGTAATCTTTACATACTATGTTCATTCCGCTCCTTTATAACCAAACCAGAAAAAGGTCCCATACTAGAAAAAGACATATCAAAAGCCGCTGGGTAACAATTTTTTCACTTTCAAGAAAATTCGCCAAAGAATCCAAGAAAAGTTCAAGTCAATTAGATTTTTGCGTCTGAACATGTTTTTGGGAATTTCATTTAAGTTTATAGAAGTAAAAAATTTAACTTAAAAAGAGAAGGTTTTGTT